AAAAAAGAAAGAAAGAGAGACAGAGAGACAGAGAGACAGAGAGAGAAAGAGAAAGAGAAAAAGAAAATCAACCAATCAAGCCCACTGGGAGAGCGGGTAGAAATCCTGAGGGCCATTCAAACAATCGCACAAAGGCAGCCTCCACAAAACGGCAACCAGGTTTAAGCGGTGCCACTTAACAGGCTGCCAGCAAAATCCATGTCAGAGTGGGATTAAATACCGAGGGAGCATGCTTAATAGACTGTGACATAATCCCCCAAGAAAAGTGGGGGAACCCCCACTGCGCTAATCATTTCAATCTAGACCTGCCAAATCCTCTTGAGACCAGCTTGCGGGAGCAAACCCTGCAGCGCCAGCCTGTGTGGAGGCCACTTTATTTCCAGAGCCTAGACCGGCAATGCCCCACCATGGCTGCGGCCAGGTCAGCTGCCAGAGTCGCTGGAGAAGGACGGCTGGCCACCCTGTAAGACACCTTGGAGGAGTCCTGGGAGGAGAAAGGAAGGGAAGCCAACACCTGCCCAAAGGCAGCTCTCTGTCCTGAGCCTCCAGGATAAAGCTTCCTGAGCATCCAAGTTTCCATTTTCTTTTCTTTTTTTTTTTCCCCAAGTTTCCATTTTCAGAGCTGGCAGACCTTCTCTTGTGTCAAAAAATAGATCTGGACTCCTGGCCTATATAATACCTGCTAGGCCAACTCCACAGAGCACAGAAGTGTGCAGGGTTCATCACATACCACAGACTTGGCAAAAACAGTACGGTACTTGGAAAAGAGCCCTGCTATGCCAAGCAGTCCAGTGGCTTAGGCACCACGTTTCTTCCTGCAGATCAAGAAACTTTTCAACTAACTTTCTCTTCTCTAGCAAGCACTTTTTTTTTTTTTAAAGAACTCTTGCTCGATAAGCTGAGCCTTGGTGCTCTTATCTGTGGAATGGGTAACAGTAACTATCTCGAGGCAGTAGGATCCAACAAGATGATATAGATGAAGCATCTGACATGGGGTAAGGACAATGAAAACAGATAAACAGAAGCTACAGGTTTGAAGGACCAGCTGGCTCAAGCGCACCTAGACTGGCTTATGCTGAGAGTGAAGTACACTCTCTATGGTGAAAGGACGGCCACCACTCCTGGGAGACGCTGCTGACTGCTGCCATCCTCTTCTAACCAATCCAGTTGGCAAAGCTGACAAAAATCAGCATCTCCAACTTCCTCAGGCTCTTACCTAAGCTATGCTAGAAAGCAACCAGGGAGCTGACCAACAGGAAGACAGACAGGAGGCAAGACTCAGGAAGAAGGGACAAAAAGCCCCATGGCAAC